GAGCAAGTGGACAAGTCCATGCATTGTCCTGGGACTATTGTGGAAGTGAGTTCTGTTTTGGATGAAGAGGAAACTGCTTGGGTTCCTTCTATGATTATTACAGGAAGAGGATAACAAGAAGATGTTCCTTGTCAAGTACTTCAACTGCGATGGTGATGAGGCAAGGGAAAACAAGACTGTTGATTCGAGTCGTATTAGGCCTGCTTCCTCGGTCGAAGAGTATCAATTGTTGGACCCTGTTGAGGCGTTTCTTGCCTCGAGTTGGCGTCAAGGGTTGGTGAGGGGAAGTCTCTCCAAGAAACGTTACGTGGTTAGTCTAGGGGCTTCAGCAGGGGGATCGGTATTCAAACATTCTGATCTTAGGCCTTAAATGGAGTGGGAAGGTGGTGTTTGGCGTAAAGGATCGATAAAGGTATTTTTTTGCCACTGATTTCTGTTAAACAATCTGTCAATTTTTTTTGCTACATTGTGTCTGAAAAGAAGTTCAAATTTTGAAGAGACACTCACCGAGGCTGCACCTATAGCAGTAAGTATGACACTCACTGATTCGCGTTTGCTTTTACGGAAACTTGTTTTTAACAAATCATGTTACCTTGAAATTAGGCCGCTGGCTTGTTCTGTGACGAACGATGATACTCCTCTTGTTATAATCCTGAAAGTGAAACCAATAGGTAATTACCGTAATTTTGATCTTCTTTAGCTTCATGAGTTTATAATCTGCATCATGAAACTGATCCATCATGTCACTTTTTCCAGCAAAAGAATCTGTTTCATCTGTCTCTCCGTCCACTGTAATAGCTGCAACACCGTTGAAACCGGTGGCTGAAACTGGAGAAAAGACATCCTTTGAGAAGACACTTGAGCAAGTTGAGGAATCAGAATTGTTTGGAAACTGATTCAACTCAACAGAAGGTAAAGTTAATTTGTCGTTTGATGGTGCGTATTAACTTAGCATTTATGATTGATATTTACTATCGAAACGATGATACGACACTACTTACACAGATGCATGAGGAGGAGAATAGCAAAGAGGAGAGTAGAAAAAGGAAAAGAGAACAAGAACAAACACTCAAACTTGAATGAAACTGGTATTGTCTAAATTGGCAATTAGCTATATAAGTTTTGTTATCTTTGTTTCTTGCCATATCTGAATCATGTCATTGTTTGTAATTTTGTAGATGGAACTTGCAATGGTTCAAAGACTGAGATTAATGATACTACAAGTAAAAAAGATCTGCAACGATGTCGATGTTGATGTTGATGATCAGCCTCTCTCTACTTTGATCGGACATTAATAATGTTGTGATTAATGTGGACTATCATTGCTGACGTTCTGGAGCCAATTCTCTGGCATCTATTCGAGCTTTATGCGCTTAAGCAAAGTAAACCAAAGGTAGTGGTTCGCTGTTCGTTTACATTCGTTCTCATTATATCTTCTGCTTTTCTTTCTCGGTTTTATGGGTTTTCATTTCAGAAACTACAAAGGAAAATGTGAAAAGAAATAATACTTGTGCAAGTCACCAAGTAATCTGTGTGGTATGCAACAAATCCCTTTTTCTCCTTTTTGAAATGTGATCAAAGCTGTTGTCGTGTTTCAGTTTGATGGGGAACGAAGCAGGTATTCAG